GCAATCAAGCTGCACCAATCCATAATCAATTTTCTACGGAGGTATTCTTGCCCTACGCTAGTTCGCGACATTCGCCCTAGCGGTTTAGCCTACTGGGCAAGTTTATTCACCTTGATCATCTTGTCGCTCCTGTGTGCTCCGTGGTACTGAGACCGGATCTTACGAATTTGTGGTAAACGTTAAGTTGGTCACCCATGTTTGATCCCCCTAGCCCCAGAATTCGGTCATACAGGACCAGTGGTATTAGTTTAGTTTTAAGCTTATTTAGTTTATTAGTTTAACTTTAGTTAATTTTAGTTTAGTTTAGTTTATCTTAGTTTAGTTTAGTATATTGTAGTTATTTAAGTATATTTATTTAACGTTGGCGGTATCTGACTTAACGAAGAACAAAACTATGCCAAACCTTGAATTTAATCAATAAAGTAGACTCAACTAAAACAGATAAAACTAAAATAAACCACAGGGCTAGGGGTTAGGGGTATCTAAGTTGGGCGACTAACTTAACTGTCACCGAATTCGTATATACTTCGTAATAATTTTCATCAGCCCCCAAAGAAGACGAAGAAGAAGGTTCAAGGACATGGACCGAGTTACATTGGGACTGACGTTTCGGACACTCGCTTGTTTCCATCGTCAGAGTAACGTGGCGGTTTTTCCTGTTTGCCAGGACTGTTTCAGCCTCGCTGCATGCCTGTTATTATATCCGTGCTCCGCGCATGAACTTTGAGCTGCTTGTTCGCTGCTGACTTCGTAATTATTTACCATAATAACAACACAGGTACTAGCTAAAAACCTCGCATGCGTGTTTCTCTGCAGTAGCTGACGAATTTAAGCTAAAACATTCGTATTAAGTTTCGCATTGAACCTAAGGAGGTCTGTTCTAAGGGATTGCCTCCAAGTTCACACATTGATTTCGTCGGAAATTAAGCAACACAGACTTAAACTGGCACTCAGGCGTGTGAAGGGAAGAGAGATTGCGGTAGGAGCAACGCAAGTCTGTAGTGAGCATGAATTGCACTTATGAAAGCATGTCGTGACTAGCTCAATTTGAAGTGCAATTTCGGAAGGCTTGCTGCTTCCGGCCTCTGTAACAGCCAAGCACAAGCCGACTCACGCAGGACCTCATGTGACGACTGCCGAGCAGACCCCACTTCAGACGCCGTCCGCTGGCTTGCGGTTGTGCGGTCTTCTGGTACTCTCTTTACCACTGTATATTCTCCCATTAATTCTGTACAGGATACACTCTTTCTTCCACTCTGGCCTTCCCAAGACTTCTCTCTCTTCGCCTAAGGAATCAGGCCTGGAAGATGGCAACCGTTAGGATTAAAACTTAGCAACTTTAACGACTCCTCGTTAAGTCTACCATCATTTAAAACTAATCCAGGCGTTAGTCACCATTTCTGCACCGATGACACTTTGACTGTCGGTTTCAACAATGTCCACTGCGTTCTTCCACAGACTGAAAGCGAACGTGGTGACTTGCGCGCGGATTAGGTGATCGTAGACTTTCGAAGTATCTACTGCACTCGCTCTTGCGCCACGCACTTGTGCCCGGTTTCAAGACAGAGTCAAGCAGACCGGAGGCGGGATCGGGCACAGGTGGCTGGCGCGGCCAAAGCCGCTCATGTGCGTGCCACCGTGCCGTCCACGTCCGGCGTTTTTGTGGGAGCGCAAACTGATTAACGCCAGCAT